AGGGTCGGAGCTATTGAGGGCCTCATCCTAACTTAAAGAAACATACTACAACACTGTGAAGCTCACACAGTTCAGTTCTCTTTCATTTTATATCTTATCTTGGATATGATTCATATCTCAGCTTTTTTTAAATTAATCATATTTTTAATTATATCCTATATTTAAAAGTATCTTGATTTTAGGAATCCCATGATTTCTATTTTAACTGCATACTTATAATGCTATGATTTCTTTCCTTGTAATATCGTAATATGCTCACGACAAGAAATATCTTTTGGGCACCTACCAAGTCCCATACCACATATTAATCATAGCACTAGACAACAAAAAGGTGATCACTTTTCTGTCATTCTAATCATCTAAAAGAAGATTTAAATATTGCCTGATTTGATATCATTTAGCAGATAATTACTGAGCATCTACTGTTGGACAGGAACTGTTCCTGAATCTAGTATTGAAGTAGGCAGGCAAAATGCCCATTGTCTTAGTTCATTCTGTGTTGCTATAAAAGAATACCTGAGTCAGGATTATCTATAAAGAAAAAAGGTTTATTGGGCTCCCAATTTTGTTGAGTAGAAAAGTTTAAAATTAGGCATCTGCATTTGGTGAGGGCCTCAGGTTACTTCCACTCCTTGCAGAAAGTGAAGTGGAGCCTAAGTATGCAGAGACCACACAGCCAGAGAAGAAGCAAAAGAGAGATGGGGAGATGCCAGGCTCTTTTAAACAACGAACTCTGGAGGTCATTTACAGAGTGTGAATTCACTCACCTTGAGGGAGGGCACTAATCTATTTATGAGGAACCTACCCTCATGACCCAAAAACCTTCCATCAGACCCCACCACCAACACCGGGACCAAATTTCAGTTTGAGGTTTGGAGGAAACAATCATCCAAACCATAGCGCCTTCATCATGGTGCTTTCATTCATGAATGCATACTTTCAAAAGCCATCTAAAATGTGGAAGAGAGGTGCAGAGTACTGTCCGTGTCCTTGAGTAACAGTTTGGGAAATTGGAAAAAATGTCCTTAAAGAAATGACAGAGTCTACCTGAAGGATGAGAGCATGAATTAGAAAGAGCAAGAAACACATGACACCTCATTTCTATTCTAGACCAGAGGCTGGGACATGGTAGGTCTCCTAACATATGAGATTAATTAGTTGGTTAACTATTGAAGAGTATGTAATAGTAATTCAGTAAAAAATTCGCTTTTGTTATCCTAGCTGTTTAAACTTAATACTCATTAACAGTGTGTACTTTTTAATGTTAGCATACAAAATAACTCAACTAGTAAGACAGAAACTGGTACTTAAGCATTGCAAAACTTATCACACCCAATAAAGATGAACTTAAATTATTTTAAGATTATTTGTTCTTTTAAATTATCTACACTATATTTCAAGAAAAACACATGAATATGTGAGACACATGAATAAGAGTGACATATTGTAGTATTTGCTTCTTATCAGTTATTAAATATATAGACTATGGAGAAAGATTCAAACATGACTTTTAGACTTCAGGGTAAAATGGTATTATTTAATCCCATCTCACCTTGGGAAAGCTGTTTACACAGCATCTGATCTTTTTTCTTACCAAATAGACATATACAAGATGGCAATAGTGTCTAAATAGACAACAGATATGTTATGTGAAAGTGATGTTAAGATAGAATTAGAATATTGACATAATATAATCAAAGAGATAAAAGCCCTGAATTTTTAAACAACCAAAATACATTGATTTGAGCTATAAGTAAAAGATAAAACCTCATTAACAACATGTGTTATTAAGCAATTACCTATTCATTGCATCACACACACCAATATTTTGAGGTGACTAAATTTTTCCCCAAAAAATCTTCTCTCTTTTCATGTATGTAGCTTTAGTCAAAAGAAGTTTTGATGAAAGTATGGATAATTCTAATGAAAGGAAAAACAGAGTAGTATTTGAGATGTGAACAAAAACTTAATGATCTCACAAGACATCAAAGAGTCTAATACCTCTACAAGACTCTCCAGCGATTCTCAAACTCTAGTCTTCACAGTAATCAGAATTTTAAAAACCTACATTCTTTGCTAGAAAATACATCTTTAAGAGCTTTCTAATTGGAAAATGGAAAGAAAATATAGGAGAGAGAGAGGAAAAAATGCATGGGACTTGAGAACAGAACTCTCTCAGCATTTCTTGCCCAAAGGTGTCATTCTAGGGAACCCTGTACTTCTCTGAATATGGCACCGACCAGGGGAGAGCTTCTTTACCTGTATCTCAATTAATTTGCTTGCTCAGTGTGGAAAAATTTCCTCCTCCAAAATTCAAGACATCCTTTTTCTTCTTATTTATTTAAGCTCTGCCCATCAGATCTATATTATTTGTTAAAAACTTCTTGTCCTGTGGTCCTTGCTCACGAGCTAAAGTTTGGGGCTGTTCACTCCACCCCATGGTAATGAGAAAAATATGCTCTGTGGCGCCAACATTTCTTGGTAAAATTAATTTGCAAACCATTGCAACTGAAATAATTTCACTCATAATAATTTCTTAACATTCTCTTTGCCATGACATTTTAACAAGGGTTAATAAAACAATCAACACGTTCAGGCAAATGTTTCCTATCAGAGTCACCAGAAACTATTTTGAAAATCAGTTTTAGCTTTTGAATAAGGAAAGACAGACATTTAATTCCAGGCTTTAGGAGATACTGTTACCTTAAGATTTTCATAATATTTATATATTTGATCCATATTTGTTTCAAAAGAACACCTTTTCAATTTTTGACTTTGAGTATTTCAGATTCTTACAAAATATGTTTATAAACAAAGGTTGATCAGACGTAATCGGGATTAAGTGGAAAAAATAAGCCCTGTCTTTCACATTCCATATGACTGAGGCATGTGTTTAAATATTATAGGAATTCACAGGAAAGAATAATTCTGACTAATCTGATATGACCTGTGTGAAAACATTAAAGAAGTATATTTTTAACTGTTCCTTAGAGGTGCAATATGTATTTCTCTATACTGACACAAAATTTTAAGATTACCAAAACTGCTTTTATAAAACATTCTTCCTTTGAATGTATATCTTAATCAGTCACTCAAAGAAATTCCCAGAGTTTCAGCAATAATTCACAGATGGTTATGCAGAAGTGAGTGTCCCACTCAGGGAGTCATAAAAGCAACTTATAAAGAAATGGATCATAGATTTAGATAAAAAGTGATGATTATCCAAGCAGTCCACATTTTATACATGAGGACACTGAAAGTAAATGGCTTTCCAAAGTCAGAGTCAGCCTGAGGTTATAAAGCCTCTCTAGGGTGGCCTAATTCTCAGAGTTCATTTACTGGAACACAGAATAATGTAAAGTCAAATATCCTCTAGCTATGAGACAATAAATCCTAAATTTCTTTAACCACTGTCTGAGCTGTGTTGAAATCAATTGCATGAGTAGAAGTGTGCAGCTCTCCTCAGACTCTTCCCAACATCTTGAAGAAAACAAAAAATATTTGTATTATGATCATTTTTCTCCATGACAGTAAATTTGAAAGAACAACAAAATATTTCCAGGAACACTGAGAATATCTAATAATGAATCAAGATCAGATATAGCAACCTTTCTCCAATTTTATTTTGTAAACCTGCTGTCCTATGTACTTTGGAATACATGAACATAATCTTTGGCAGAAAATAATTCTATTGAAGAAAGTTTGCACTATTGATGCAGACAGTCTGTATCCTTCAGTTACTGCAATTGTTAATCGTCATAGCAGCAGTGCTTAAAGCGCACTATTCAATAGCATTTTCAATGTCAACAAGAAAAGTCAAACTCTGTACAGTATTTGAAGAGATTTATTCTGAGTCAAATATGAGTGACCATGGCCTGTGACACAGGCCTTCAGGAGGTCCTGAGAACATCTGCCCAAGGTGATTGGGATGCAGCTTGGCTTTATGCATTTTAGGGAGGCATGAGACATCATCAAATACATCTAGGAAATACAGTGGCTTGGTTCAGAAAGGTGAGACGACTCAAAGCAGGGTCGGGGAAGGGGGGTGCTTCCAGGCTATAAGTAAATTTAAATATTTTCCAGTTAACAACTGGTTGAATTCATCTGAAGACCTAGGATGGACAGAAAGGAAATGTTCAGATTAAGATAAAAGATTGTGGAGACCAACGTTTTTTTGACATCTTATAGTGGCTGCCCTTAGGGACAATAGATAACGAATGTTTTCTATTCGGGATTGGGAAAGCCTGGAAGAAAAAGATCTAGCCGTGTAAACAGAGGTTCTTCACAGATGCAAATTTTTCCCCACAGATGTGGGGGGTGGTGGGATGGGGGACAGCTTTGTAGGACCATTTCACGATATGGCAAAGAAACATGTTTAGGGGTAAAATATTTTTATTTTCTTCCTTGTCTCACAATGTTATGTCAGTCAGGTTGGAAAGTAAGTCACAATATATAGGGTTAAATAAAATCCATCTGATGAGAATTTATGGTTTATAGGACATGACTTCCCAGACCCCTTAGTTAGGAATTTGGGCAAGATAAAAATCAGAGCTTAGTTTTCATAAAATATACTACCGAAAGTATTTTCCAATATAATTTCCTAATGAAGACCCACTGCAATTTAAAACCCTTACTAACCTACAGCAGTATAAAAAATAAGTATTGAAAACAATGATATATGCAATCAGAAGACCTAAACAAAATACATTTAGAAAGAAAAGAAGAAAGCAGTCCTAAGGAAGCATTAATATAAATTATTTTCACTAATTAGATCCTTCAAATAGGAAAATCACTGAAATTGTAGAAGAGCAATAAGAAATAAAGTTTTCAATTACGTGTTTAGTGATAACTATGTACTAAGAACTGTGCTAGACATTGAATCATAAACACCTTCAAAATGACCACAGGAAGTAGTTGTTATTATCCTGATTTTATGAGCCAGAAAAAATAAAATTAGGCCTCTGTTTATTACTCATGTATTCACTTATTCAAAAATAGTTTTGGATATGTGATAATCTCATTCCAACTTAAAGTCTCTCACTGAATATTTGAGAATAATAACAGATCAGATATTCTGTAAAAAAAAAAAATACATATATATAGCTATGGGATGTCTGCTCTGCTATGTTTATGACTTTGTTTGGTGAAGAAACACATGGATAAGCCCTAATGTCATGGAGTTTATAATCTACCCGAGGAGATAAGTAGTTAAAGACATTTTCTAGGTCTTGGTAAGGATTAAGAGATAAACTTAGATAGAGTAAGGAATGGTGGGTAATAATATAAAATTTGGTGTTGCTGTTTTAAACATATGATCAGGCTGACAGTTCTAATATGCTAGTACTTTTAGCCAACTACATCAAGTGAGGTAGAGAATCATGGTGATAACTGAGTGAGTGAATTTCAGAAAGAGGAAGTACTGAGAACTACGATCTGATAGGCAGATTACCCAGAGTGACCCATCTGGAAAATGATTTGAATCCTCTCCGCAATGATTTCCGAGCCTGTCTTCTTATCCTCTACAGAATGCTAGAACATGTCTGGTTTCCCATGACCTCACCAACACTACACTATTTCAGACATTTTCAGTTTTAACAATTAAATAGCAAAAATAATGGCTTATGTTCTTTTCTATTTGCAACTTATTGCTAGTGAAGTTAAACATATTTTATGAATATTTCTGTTATTAGTATTTATTTCTCTGTGAATTACTTATTCAGAGTTGTGTTAGTCTGTTTTCATACTGCTATAAAGAACTGCCCAAAACTGGGTAATTTATAAAGGAAAGACGTTAAATTCACTCACAGTTCAGCTTGGCTGGGGAGGCCTCAGGAAACTTAGAATCATGGCAGGAGGCTGAGGGGAAGCAAGGCACCTTCTTCACATGGTGACAGGAAGGAGAATGAATGCAAGAGGGACTACCTTATAAAATCATCAGATCTCCTGAGAGCTCGCTTACTATCATGAGAACTGCATGGGAGAAACTGCCCGCATCATTCCTTTACCTCCACAGGGTTTCTAAATGTGGGGATTTGGGGGATTACAATTTAAGATGAGATTCTGTGTGTGGACACAGCCAAACCATATCAAGAATCTTTGTTTATTTTCCTACTAGGTTGTTGACTTTACACTTTCGACATATTAGGTTTGTGTAAAAGTAATAGTGATTTTTCCCATTACTACCAATGGCAAAAAACGCAATTACTTTTGTTGTACCAACATAATACATGTGCACACATACTTAAATATATACACATGCCTATCTATATAACTTATCAACACTTCAGTTAATTACTGCTATTGAAATATTTTTATCAGAATTTTTTTATCACTTAGCTTTTTGATTGATGTATCATAATTGTAAATATTTTCGGATACATGTGATATTTTGATACATGTATACAATGTCTAATGATCAAATCAGGATAATTGGGATATCCATATCCTCAAACGTTTATCTTATCTTTGTGTTGAGAACATTACCATTCTCTCTTCTAGCTATTTTGAAATGTACAATAAATTATGGTTAACTCTAATTTTGCTACTACATTATCAAATACTAGAAGCTATTCCTTCTATCTAGCTATATTTTTGTAAACACTGACCACATTTTCTTAATTCCCCTCCCCCTCCCTTTTATTTTCAGCCTCTGGTAACCACCATTCTACCCTCTACCTATTGAGATACACTTTTGAGCTCCCACATATAAGTGAGAACATGCAACGTTTATTTTTCTGTGCCTGGCTTATTTCACTTATTATAATGAGCTCCAGTTCCATCCAAGTTGCTGCAAATGACAGAATTCCATTCTTTTTAATGGATAACACTTAGCTTTTCTTTATGGGGTCTTATATAGATGTTCTAAATTTATAAGTGAATACATATTTTGATTTTTTTCAAGGTTTAATTTGAACAACTAAAAATTCTGAGATAAAATATCAATTTCCCACACCATTTCAAAATAAAACTTTCCCTTGTTGTCTGTTATCTTCTATTCCTCCCAACCATGATAATGACTTTTAAGATCTTCATTCTCAATTGGATTATTGTGGAAGACCCCAATCATAATTATAATTTAATCTCTTCTATGCAGTGCAGCTTATACAAGGGGATTTGATGGATTTTCACTTTGTTATGTCATTTATTTACTGATATTCATGGAATATCATCATTGTTTTCAGTAGCATCTTCCCATATGCATTTATTTTATTATTCCAAAATGCTAGTGCTCTCACAAAAAAAAAAATGTGCATAAAATCAAGTCAAAGCCATTGAGGATGTATTGTGTATCTGTTCTCTGCCCATATACCCATCATTCACTGGGACAGGCATGAGGCTTTTTAAAAACCCTGAGAAGTCTTGCAGTAAATAAATTAGTTGACTAAGCATTTTTCAAACGTGTAACTATAGATGGTAATTATTTTGTACAGCTCACTGAACCAATTGGGTTGGCATGGTGGCTCATGCCTGTAATCGTAGCACTTTGGGAGGCTAAGGCTGAAGGATTTCTTGAGGCCAGGAGTTCAAGACCAGCCTTGGCAACATAGTGAGACTCCACTTCTATAAAAATTAAAACATTAGCTAGTCATAATGGTGCACACCTGTAGTCCCAGCTCCTGGGCAGGCTGAGACAGGGTGATGGCTTGAGGCCAGGAGCTTGAGGTTGCAGTGAGCTATGACCACACACACCACTGTGCTTCAGCCTGCTCTACAGAGCAAGACGTTGTTTAAAAACAACAAAAAAATATGTATCATTTGGGAAATGTTAGTGTGAATAGAAAATTCATAATGCAAAAAGTGTTCTGCATTTGATCTAACCACAGTAATTACAGCTTGATTCCCTGGTTCCCACACTGGGAGTCAAGCCTGGGCCGCCTGGGTGAAAACCAGGAGTCCTAACCACTAGGCCCCCATAGAAACAGAGTAGCCACAGTAGGAACTTAGGTTCTTGGCCTTTCTAACCCCAAAGAATGGGGAAAAGAGCTCCAGAGGCACAGTGAGTTTTACCGTTCAAACAGAACTCATGTACCCAAAGAGGGTGCAATAGTGCAGCTTATTAGGCAGAACGAAAGGAACAGCTTCCACACCTGTGTGGAAGGGGATCCAGAGAGGATTCCAGCCTGGGCTGGGGCAGCTAGAGTTTTTACCCCTGAGTTATTTTCTCCCCATTCATGTTCTTGTCCAATAAGAGGGTTCTTTCAAACTTCCTCTGGATTCATTGATCTTTGACTCCATTACTGTATTGACTACTATTTTATAACCCTGAGTCACAGACCTCTCACCTCCAAGAGCCAGAGGTGGGAAAGTCAGAGACAAAGCCCTTACCTGGCCTCCCAGAGGTGGGAAAGTAGAAACAAAGGGCGCTAGCCTGCCAGAGGCAGGAAAATGGAGAATTCCTGCGCTCAAAACAATGCCCCCAGCCAACCCCAGGAAGTCCCTCTAACATAGCCCTTCAATACCTCTTCTTCTGAAACTACCCTCTGTGTGGCCAGTGTATTAATATACTAATCACAAAACACCTGCTATTCACTGCTTTTCATACTTATTTATATTGTACTGCTTTACTTCCTACTCCATGTTTCTTCATACTCCTTGCTGGATAGACCTGAACTTCACTAGAGATCCCACCTGAACAACAATCCCTACACAATGATGTTCTGATGCCTTTCTTGAAAGGAATGCCTCAACATGTGTGGCATTTGAGAATACCTGGGCATTTTATCATATGTTGTGACTAAGTTGTTGGTTAAAAAAAAAAAATTCACTTACTAACTAATTTTAGGAAGCATCTACACGATGGTACCTGTCCCAGCATGTGGGAGATGCTTAAGTGGAGTTTTGAACTAACACACTCTGCAGTGTAAGGAAGGTAGATGATCAAACTGATTGGACTTCTTTCTCTGTGTATTAGCACTTTCAGTTGTTTATTCTTGTTCTAATTAAATCTTTGGATGTGAAAAGTCCTCATTAGTCCTGGTTAGTTTGAGTGATAGATAGAAGATAGATAAGAATATTTCTGCCCAGAGGGGAAAGGCAGTCAATAAATTAATCAATCAAAGTCATGATAAAACGGACCACAAACTATCCATTCATTTGTGTGTTCTAAAAATCAATGATTTTAACAGAGCCGTTGGAATGAGTCGGATGGCCTTTGCCAAGATAAACTTGTTACTACATTTTGGATACCATCATGGGTTAAACAATCATCAGAGACTTCTTTTAATTGGGAAGATAGAATCATAGATTTAACAATAAATTTCTTAGGTAAAATGGCACTTATTTCTAATATTAGATAATTCTTACATGTTGTCCCTTCTACTCACTTGCCTTCTCTCTTGGGCCGGCTAGCATTTTTTCCCCTAATTTGGCAGAAAAATCTAAGCACAGGATGACAATAAAATGTTATGAAACCTGTATAGTCTCATAACATTTACTACTTAAAGAAAAGATAAATAGTTAAATAAAAGCCATGTTTATATTGAAGTAAAATAAAGGATGGGCAAAGGTAGTGTCTAAGCTTTCTACTTATTGGCAATTCTATAAATTATAGGTTTTAAAATATTTAAAAGAAAGCAATAGAATCGGCAGCAATTCATATAATAATTAAGAACTTAGATAATAAAATTAGACATCAAATGTTAAATTACAACTTTACCTCAGATGCTGAAGTAGTAATGAATATGTGCATTTTTTTATTGTCATAAAGTTGCTCATAGTAAACCTTTATAATTCATTTAGTGTCTTCAGTCATAAGGAATCAGAAATCTATTATTTCTGATTCAGTAATTTGTATTTTCTCTTTTATTCTTTATTGATATACAAAGATGTATCACTTTTCCTATTCCATTCAAAGCATCAATTTATATTTTATTGACATTTCTATATTTTTTCTTTTTCCTTGACTTTAATT